AAAAGTTTACTTGTCTACTGGTAATGGTATACAGATAACATGTTGGAGAGCATGGTATGGTGTACACAAATTTCACAACATCGTGATTATTTTATACCACCAACAGTTATGCTCCTTAGTACACTGATCCGTAGCTCATCTCCGATCCACCGTTGGGCACACTCACTCTCAATCATCATGCAAACCTTTCTTATTCGGTTTACTAGAAATCATTGCAATTTCATCTGTGACGATTTGATTTTGTTTATTCAATGAATAAACGCGTTCACCGGAGCGTATATCCTTCATTTTTCTATATTGACCATTTGTTATTGAAACAAGTTCTTCGCCATAGAAACAACCTGTTCAAAGTACATAGACACAAAGGTATGTATTCAAATAAACTATTAATGTAAAGAAACTTAGCTCATTAAGTGTGAAGGCGGCTATTGACTAGATCTTTTTCTGTTATGGAAAACATTTCCTGTTAACCATTAATAATGCGGTCATGATTAAAGATACACTCAACCACTTCGTAATAAAATTAATCCAAAAAGTAAACAGCAGAAAACAGATCTATCAATTCATCAAATTGAGGACTTCGAAAGTCTCTTGAGTGATCGTGCATTGGTAATAACAAAAGCGGACAAATGAAATGAAATTACAGTTATGAATAAGTCAGATTATTTATCAAAAGCTTTTAAGAGACGATTCGCGAGGAAGCGAGTATATTGCGAAACAGGCGTAACATGCAAAAACTTGACATATGATTTTTATTTGATTTTCAAATTCTACAATCAAAACTGGGGTTACGAAAACACTTTTAACCTGCCACACTTTACTTTGACCTAGTTACAGAGTTTTCAAAATGAGGTGCATCGAAGAATCGCAAAAATGTGCCCTGTCTCATATTTTCGGTATAACTCCGTCATTTTTTGTCCGTTCTGGTTGAGCAATATCTCATTCGAAAGACCATCAAAAACTAAACAAAATAATGAGCCTTCTCTTTTTCTAAACTCACTAATGATTTTGTAAGAGGTTCATCAAGTGAAGGATTATGATTTTCACATACAAATTTTTTCTACCAAAACTCACTTTTGGGCATCTAAACAGAATTTACCTAAAAATATCAAGGTGACATTCGATTTCTCAACAAAATCAAACGAGTCCTATAAATACGAGGACACATCCTTTACATACGGATGCTAATACATTTGCTATATAGTAGTTTCGGTGACGGTGCTAGAAATTAATCCCTTACTGAGAGAAATACACTCAGTAGTTTTTATTGCTTTCGCAGTAATTATCATTTTTGTATATATACAAGCAAACACTAGTATGCGATTCGCTCGATGCTGGACCTTAGTGGCGCCGCGTGTAGTGGTAATGTATTTAATAACATGTTGAAAAATCAGGTTAGCCTGTGTTTTAACAAAACAAAACACAGAAGGCATATCAACTACCTTGTTATGACATCTGGTAAAAATTAAAAAAATCTCAAAAGAAGAAAGTGAGAATATTAAAATATGAGATAATCAAAGGATAAGGACAGGTGAGAAGAGAAGAAAGTGAGAAGATTAGGAAGCCAGAAGATTGGACAGTCAGAAGAGTAAAATAGTCAATATAGTCAAAGAGTCTGTCAGTATCCTACAGTCAATAATACCAGAGCGCAAGTAAATTTCAACTGATGCACAATGATCTCGTCTAGCCAAGAGGTGAAAAGTAGTGCTGAAAAAAGCCCAAAATTAACCACAACAAATTGCTTAGTTTCTACTGAAATGCTCCATCGGCATCCCAACTCTGCCAGTCATGAGACAGAAAAGCAACCGGCATTAGGTGTGCTCTGTACAATGGTTTACTCTGTCTGTATTATACACAACAGTTATCATCGAACAGTTCCGAATTTTCTACTTCTAGTAGAAAGAAGTCATAAAGTAATAGTTTCCGTTCCTTCCGACGTACGATTAGCAACAGTACATCAACATCGTTCGAGAGTAGATCGTGATTTTTCCTCTCGATAGCTGGAGAAGTCAACGAGTCAGTAAGGCTACTAATCTCGATCGCCAAGCAGACAACATATGACTCTCTACTTAAGAATAGTAAAGAAATACTCGTTTAATTTGGAAGATTTCTCGAAAATGTTTTTAAAAACAAAAGTATTTTCTCTTGATTTTTATAGGTACTATTGAACTGCATGATATAGTGTGGATAAAATACAGTAAGGTGCACGGAATTCGAAGTTACAGCGATATTTTTGCAAACTAAGGACCTTAATTTAGAGAGCTATCAGAAAAAAATTTCCAGCTCAGTCATCGAATAAGCTATCAAACCCAAAAACACATTACTCGAACCAGTTCCGAATAACACTATCCGAATATTTCAGGACCTTCCTAGACAAAAATATTCAATTTTTAAGAATTTCTCCAAAAAGGAGTATAGCGCAATATTTTGAATTTTTCACCATGAAGGAGTGCACTAAGAACTTTAAATAAGATATTCGTGATCCACGCCTTCCACTCTATCGAGCCATGTGTGTTTAAGCCAAAAATAAAGTATCGCTGTAACTTCAAATGGCCGGCACCTTACATATTGATAATCTAACGAAGTTTCGATCGATTTTGACTTATTACAAGTTTTCTAACTTTACGTGAAAACAGGCAAAGATAGGTTATTCCATCTAATATAGATTTTCACTGGATTTATAAACTATTCATTTCGTTCCAATAAGATTTCATAGAAATAACTTTTTACTTCGGAGATTTTTGTTAAGTCAAAGAATTTTAACAAAGCACTCTGTCTAGACTCCACTATCATAAACTTAAAATTTCGGTGCACTAAATTATATTCTATTGTGATACACACCATTTCCATGCTCAAACTACTATGCACCACTCATAACAGAAGTTCAGTTGAAAAAGATGTTGTGGCAGAATATAAAGACACGATGTTTATATTTAAATGTCTCTGTAGTATCTCAATAGGAGAACCTATGGATTATCATGAGCAACTCGTCCACCAGGTTCGAACCTTGAAAGGTTCATTAAAAAGAAGAAAAAAAAAAGGTTGAAAGGTTCGGTATTTTTAAAAAAAACGTTTTTTGTTCATTATTGCTTAAAAGTCAAGAAAACTGCTAAGGGAACCATCGCGAGTGGTCAGAAAATGTTACGAATTTCATAAGAACTCAACAAGAAACTAACAAGAACTCTTATCACTTTCTTATAAGATTCTTACTCAATTGTTATCTGATTCTCACGAATTTCGTGCAACTTCTTATATAAGAAAGATGCACAAGTAATAATTCCAAACAAATTACAACGCTGAGTTCTTCACATGATGCATTGTGCTCATCTTGGCGTGGTTTAATGGAACAGCTAGCTCATCTTCGTTGTTGGTAGCCAAAGATGGACAAAGGCATTGCTAGTATGGCAAATTCGTCTAAGACTTGTGCAAAGTCAGCAATAATGTCCCAGGAAGAACCCAAACCATGGCCAGAACCAGAACATGTGTGGTCCCGAGCATACATGGCCTTCGCTGGACCATTCTGGGGTCCGAAATGACTCGAATCGTCGATGCAAAGTCAAAGTTTCTATTTTTTGGCAGACATGGGAGACGACACAACCGCAAAGAATCTTTGTAACGTTCTTGAATAAGCAATCGATTGACTCGGTCCGCCGGAAAAGCTCATTTCAGACAACGGTCCACTATTAGGCAGTTACGAGATCAAAGATTTCTAAAAAAAAGTGCATCGAACACATCACAATAGCACCTTATCATCCGACCAGTAACGGACTCCCAGAGCGTTTTGTTCGCTCATTCAGAGAAGGGATGAACGTTCCCGACAAGAATGTCGCACTTAGGAACGTTCTGCGAAGCTATCGACGGACTCCGTACACTTCAATCGGCTTGCCTCCTCAGATATGCTGCTTCAACGTCCGATTCGAACCGCATGGGTCAGACGGGAACTGCATCTGTCAAAAATAATTTTGAATAAGACGAAGGACTATGTTGAATAACCCGTATGGACGATGAATCACCAACCAAACAGACGCTGGCAACCTGCAGCTATTACAAAAAATCTTGGATTGATGGTATACGAAATACAGCTTACAGGACAATGCTGGAAGTGTCACCAGAGCCAACTTCGTTCGCATCAGTGCAAAGTCGTCGATTATCCGACCTGGACAGTTTACGTGATGCTTTGTTCAACAGCACCATGGAATCTGAGCAAGTGGAACCCCTGTCACCAAGATATCTTCACCGAAATCACAAACCACCCGAACGCTCTCTACCCATGTGATAATCTTAAAGTGGAAGATGTTCACGCGGAGAGTTCTCGATCACATGTGATCGCACGTCATGCGTTGGTTTTTTTTTGTCAACGTGACCTCGTGTGTCCTTATGATATATATACTCGTGTTGTTTTTCTTTTTTCTGCCTTTTATTATCGTATACTATTGTTCGTGTTGTGCAATAAACTGAACTCACGTTGCAAAAGCACGCAACATTTACAGTCAAGAATGCTAAAAATGCCTCTATTTTTGAGACATTTTGAAGGAGGACGCAGCAACTTGTACTAAGTTCTGTTTCTTCTTGTAATATAATGGGTGCCCCATAAATAATGGCCATTCTTTGCATATGAGATTTCCAGCACGTTTAGCAGGTTTTATTCGAAACAAATATACACAAGACACAGCAAACAAAGATCTACTTTGCACATAAGAAAAGTTATTTTACATATGCGCCTTGTGTGTAGCAAAACTTTGAAATCTGACAATGAAAATTGGAAAAATACGCGTGTATTTAGGTGTTTTCTGCCACTAGTTTGAAAAAAGTTCTTTCAGAAACGAAGAAATATTTTCTAAAACCGATGCGTTACTTTTTTAATAAATAAATATCTCCATAATTACAAAAGATTTCTTAAGAAACCTTTGTCAGTGGAGAAATCAGAAGAAAATAAACATATTTTGTACCAAAAGTTTTTTCCAGGACCGGTAACGGTAACCGACATGGTGCGGTTACCGTTACCGTTGCATTCCTACTCTTGATGGAAATAAATGTGGTCGTTGAGCTTGTCCACGAAACGCAGATCGTGAAATTTGTCGCTTCACTTGTATTATCAATTCGTCTTTCATACCCTTTTCCAAAAATGAATTTTTGTCTGACATTGAAGGGTCATATTCACGACATAGTTTGATAACAGAAAAAAAGAAATAATAAGTAATGATTGATTCATCTGGTCCTTGTCGCCTTTTGGTTAGTTTTTCGAACAGCTGTGATGAAGAAGTAACTGGTTTGAAACGTGTCAACATCTGGGCTTTTAAGTCTTTCCATTCTGTCAATGTTGCTCGATTTGCTGTAAACCAATTAGCCGCTTCACCCACCAATTTCGCTTCCGTCATTGAATATAATACGTTTGGTTGTACTTCAATGAGATTACCAATTCGTTCAATTTGTGCTAAAAATTCATTACTATACAGGAAAAGTTTTGAAATATATTATTCAACATACTACGTCGATTTCTCCTATTCGACATTCATAACACACTCTTCCCATGTAAAGATGTATGATATAATACAAAACAAAAGCGCTTCGGAGCAGTGTAGATTTGTTTTATATTTGATTATCGTCATCATATTCTAAAATTGAATGAAACCAAAGAACAGGTAAAATGTCTTGACATGTCATCGATTGAAACAAATTATTCTTACTTGTACTTGTTTAAAAGTGAAAATCGAACAGGATCATTGAATAAAAAAACGAGAGAAAACAGATTACAGTTCCGCCATATACAACTTCTTATGTCGACAGACTCTATCTCTTGAAGGGGCTGGAAACAGTGAGCCTGTTCACTTTCCTACTGCGCTTTTGCTATTAGTGTCTCTTTCTTTCAACTGCTTAGTGTACACAGAAGCAAACGGAAGAAATAAGAATTGAAAACGAAATTTGAAAAACAAATCTCAAAGAGAAGTAAAGACAGAGAGAGAAAATGTCTTTTTTTCTGCAAAAAAACAAATGGAATTTAAATAGTTGAATCAGAAAGGAGTATCAAACGTGTTCGTACGAATTTGAAGACATGCGTATGTTTCTATAAAACAAGCAAGAAAGAACAGCTTATCAAATTATTAAATTTTGTGCTTTCTGTAAACATATGCGAGTAATCGGCAGTCTACTTAAGAGGCAGTGCACGATAGAGACGAACGAAGTTGCTCAATGAACTGTCACAGATTTTTCTCAAATTATCAGAGCAGATAGAGAAATGTGTCCTGAACATTTTTGTCTCTTGACATTTTTTTCCAAA